CGAGAAGGTTTCACATTCTTAGAAAAAAGAACATTTGGGGCCCCCGAGAAGGTTTTACAATCTTAAAAAAAGACAATTGGTGCCCCCGAGAAGGTTTCACATCCTTAAAAAAAATATTTGGGGCCCCCGAGAAGCTTTAAATTTTTTTAAAATACATCTGAGGCCCCCGAGAAGGTGTCTAATTCTTAAAAAAAAACATTTGAAACCCCAGAGAAGGTTTTACATTTTCAAAAAATACATCTGGGGAACCGAAAAAGTTTTAAATTCTTAAAACAAAAAATTTGGGGTCCCCGACGTTTTTTTACATTTAAAAAAAGGACAGTTGGGTCCCCGAGAAGGTTTCATATTCTTAAAAAAAAAGGACATTTGGGGCCCCCGAGGTTTCCTATTCTTTAAAAAAAAAAAAACATTTGAAACCCCCGAGAAGGTTTTACGTTTTTAAAAAAGACATCTGGGGCCCCGAGAGGGTTTTACATTTTTAAAAAAGACAGTTGGAACCTCCGACAAGGTTTCACATTCTTGAAAAAAAGCCTATTGGGACCCCCGAAAAGGTTTCATATTCTTAAAAAAAAAAAAATTGGGGTCCCCGAGAAGGTTTTTTACATTTAAAAAAGACAGTTGGGTCCCCCGAGAAGGTTACATATTCTTAAAAAAAAAAACATTTGGGCCCCCCGAAAAGCTTTTACATTTTTAAAAAGACAGTTGAAACCGCCGACAAGGTTTTAGATTCTTAAAAAAAGGCAATTGAGACCCCCGAGAGGGTTTTACATTTTTAAAAATCCAGTTGGAATCTCGGACAAGGTTTTACATTTAAAAAAAAAAAGGCAGTTGGGACCCCCGAAAAGGTTTCATATTCTTTAAAAAAAAAAAAATTGGGGTCCCCGAGAAGGTTTTTTACATTTAAAAAAAGACAGTTGGGTCCCCCGAGAAGGTTACATATTCTTAAAAAAAAAACATTTGGGCCCCCCGAAAAGCTTTTACATTTTTAAAAAGACAGTTGAAACCGCCGACAAGGTTTTAGATTCTTAAAAAAAGGCAATTGAGACCCCCGAGAAGGTTTTACATTTTTAAAAAACCAGTTGGAATCTCCGACAAGGTTTTACATTAAAAAAAAAAGGCAGTTGGGACCCCCGAGAAGGTTTCACAATAAAAAAAAGACATTTGGGACCCCCGAGCAGTTTTCACATTAAAAAAACAGTTGGGGCCCCGAAGAATCTTTCACAATATAAAGAAAGATATTTGGGGCCCCCGAGAAGGTTTTACAGTTTTAAAAAAAGACAGTTGGCTTCCCCGAGGTTTCACATTCTTAAAAAAAAACATTTGGGGCCCCCGAAAAGCTTTTACATTTTTAAAAAGACAGTTGGAACCTCCGAGAAGCTTTCATATTCTTAAAAAAAAAAAAAAGAAATTTGGGGCCCTCGAGAAGGTTTTACATTTTTAAAAAAGACAGTTGTGATCCCCGAGAAGGTTTCACATAAAAAAAAGACACTTGAAACTCCCGAGAAGGTTTTACATTAAAGAAAAATATTTGGGGCCTCCGAGAAGATTTTACAGTTTTAAAAAAGAGAGTTGGGACCCTCGAGAAGTTTTCACATTCTTAAAAAAAGTCATTCGAGCCCCCGAGAAGGTTTTAGATTTTTAAAAAACACATTTGGGGCCCCCGAAAATATTTTACATTTTTATAAAGACAGTTGGGTCCCCCGAGAAGTTTTCACATTAAAAAAAACAGTTGGGACACCGAAGAATGTTTCACATTAAAAAAAAATATGTTCGGGACCCCCAAGAAGGTTTTACATTAAAAAAAATACAGTTAGAACCCCCGAGAAGGTTTCACATTTTTAAGAAAAAGACATTTGGGGTCTCCGGGAAGGTTGTACGTTTTTAAAAAGACAGTTGGAACCCCCGAGAAGATTTCGCATTAAAAAAAAAGGTCGAAGATTACTTCCAGAGTACTTTCTTCGCCCATAAACTACAACTTGTCAAATCCAGGTCTTTCCAAAAATTAAAAGATTTGATTTTGCGAATTTTATTGTTTTTTATGGAAAACATCGTAAGCTAAAATAAAAATATGTATCTAATGTTTGAGTAAAGGTAAAGAAACGTGCTAACCGTTCGTTACAAGTGAATTTTTCTATTACAAAATTTTGTGTTGATGTCATCCACATTTTTGCAAGGACATATGTAACAATTTGAATGGATGGATTGTAATACTGATATTTAAAGTATTGTATTATTGTTATTCTTGAATACAGATTTATATTCAATAAAATAACAAAACAATTTAATCACGTCTGCCGTATGTAATAACAGAGGTACGACTGAAATCATTTAAGGTATTCGTAATTTAAGACAAATAGCGATAACACTTATCAACCCTTAGACCTGAGAGTGAAATAGAAACTAAACTAAAAGATGTTTTCCACGAATTGCTATAACCGGATCACAATGCCGACGGTCCAGACTTTTTTATTGCTCTGACTTCCGCCTATTGAATAAAACACTACATTTTATTTTGATTTTCGATATTGTAATTCACATTTCGTTAATTATAACTCGTCTAGATCTACGGAAAGCTGAGCAATCCCTAGCCTCCCCTAGCTACGGCCTTGTCTAGGGGTTATGAAATATCAAAAAAATATGAAAGCACCAAATTGGCCGATCGACTCCATCACTGTACGTCTTTAGCTTATTCTCAATAAGAAAATCAACTTGAAAGTGTTTATGTTTATACATCGGAAGAATGTCACGTGGAAATTAGTTTGATTTGAATAAGTTCATCCTCTCAAAACAGAGGATCAAAACTATCAAATAGGCTACAATCGATAAAATATTCTGAATATCTGTATTATAATTCTTATTAAATAAAGACGTTTGTATTTTCACATTTTCGGGAAAATGAAGTGACTCGTTCTTAATTTGATCAATTAAAAATATGAATGCGATGATGAATCACAAGTAAAAACTCATCATATTTTGCACATTTTGGGGTAGAATTTATTCCGCAAAATTTTGAGATAAAGTCATCAATTTCTTAGGAGAAATAAACAGATTTATTTTGATCAACAATTTACCATGTTTGCAATTACTTTAAAACGTCTGCAAGTATTCAGGTTTGCAATTCTTGATTTACTCATTAGAATAAATTGACTGACTTATTAATTTTTCGACTCACCCTGCATAAGCAACTCGCTTACGCTCAGGAAGAAAATTATCTTAGGGGAAAGTCCCCCTTATTGGACCAGTGCCTGCATTGAACCACCCTATTTTTTTTTAATCTAGAATAGTTGCCGACATCTAGTGCATATTATTCGAAAGTATTTGGCGCCAAAGCAGTCTTGTGTAAAATTCCATTCTGTAGCGGTAAGTGTCTGCTTGTTAAATTGCAAAGAAATTTTGCTACCATTGTGATACAACTTTTCGCATGTTTTTGTAAGGATATATAGCCTAAATTATTTCATAAATACAGTGCACAAAGACTACATTGGTCAAAGCGTAATAAAATTAAGAACCTAACCTAGAAATAAATATGTTTTATTTCGTTATAGCGTTTTAACACAAGAAAATAGTAAATTTTATACCAGCGCGTATATTGGACCACCTTAGATTCTCCTTATTTGGACCGGTCTAATTGAAGGAACTCCCGATTTGACCAATCACGTCACAGTATCTAGGCGCGTAATTTTAGAACTTCGTATTACAATGCCCAATAATAAATTTTTTTATAATAATCTATTAACTATGATTTTATACTAGATGGATGCGGAAAAACAAGCAAAAAAGAAGTATTATAAATGGAGCGAAGAGGACGTGGATAACGCACTAACTGCTTTTCGTAAAAATCGACTAGAGTTGAACGAATGTTGTCGGCAATTTAATGTGCCAAAAGCCACATTTAAAAGACGTTTGTCAGATAGTAACAAACACATTAAGGGCAGTACGAAACGCGCCGGGGTGATTACAACGTTGCCTGCCGAATTAGAAGCTGATTTAGTGGAACACGTCCTTAGGTTAGAAGCTTGCTTTTTTGGAATCACCAGATGAGATGTGATGAACCTTGCATATCAATTGGTGGAGAAAAACAAAATATACCACAGATTTAACAATACTCTACAACGTGCTGGAAAAAAATGGTATTACAATTTCATCAGAAGACATCCCGAACTATCACTTCGATTACCAGAAAAAACATCCATGGCTTGGGCGAAGGGTTTCAACAGAGAAAATGTTACAGAATTTTTTAACATATATGAACGTATTTTTTTTTTCACATTTTAAATAAAATTATGTTCATTTCATGCATTTTTACCAAGAAGGTCAAATTTAAGAACCGGTGGTCCAATTCAAGAATATAGTGGTCCAATTTAGGAACCCAGTCTCCTAATTTGGACCACTTGCAGACCTTAAAAAATTATTTTTTTTAACCAATTTGGATGTTTCAAAAAATTCTAAAAAAATTACCAAACATTGAAAACATGTCAAAGTTAATGGCTCAACACTAGATAAGTTAATATCGTATTACATTTTGGTATTAATTGAAAAAATGTCCCACTAGGTCCGAATGAGGGGACTTTCCCCTATTATATCTTGAGACTCAAGTTATAATTATTACCAATAATTGTGTTTTGTATTTTTATTTTTATTTTAATTTGTGGCTTTCAAATGCATTCACTAAACACACCAATTCCAAAAACAATACGTTTTTCATTTCGGCGACATGCCGTTATTGTTTTTCAATCGGCGTGCAAATTCAGATTTGCATTGATAAAAACTGCAATTACATAAAATCACTGAGTGAATTTAAAACGCTTCTGCATTTGAAATAAATCCAAATAATGAATCAATATAAAATAGTTATCAATTATTTTTCGCTCTGTTAGATTTTGTGTGCATAGACAGAAGTTGGTGATGCAGAAAAATACAATAGGGAAGGGTGGATGGTAATCGCTTTGTCCCATTTATATTCAAAACGATTGACCGGGGCTTTTGATACACCAGCAGAATTATGTATTAGCAACACTTTTATTCTTACAACGTTAAAATTATCATTAAAAATCAGTCTAGGTCGTTTCTTGCGACGTTGTAGGGGGACTCGGGACCCAACCTTCTGGAACCGTTGTTGTACCATTTTGGCGCATAATAAATCAAATAAGCCACCAGGGACGCTAGAAGAATGACCAGCAGCGACAGGAACGAAATTAAAATCCTGTGGGACTTTTTCCCGAATTTTTGGGGGTAGCACAACGGCACGTTTCGCTCAGTTACGTCGATTAACTTCTTCGAGTTGAGGGTGGTCGGAGATGTACATCTAAAAAGAAAGTACAATCACTGTAGCAAGACTGTATTAATGGTTGCCTATTCACACTTACTTAATCTTATCGCTTTTGTACAAATTGTCCACTTCTTGAAGCCACAACAAATCGCAGTCACAAGTCCACGGATTATCCGTCAAATCGACCAAATCCAGCGTCCTAAAAAGATACTTGTAGGTGATATTCAAGTGCTGTAACGCATTTCCAGACAACGACAATCTCTTCAACTTAGAAACCATATTCTTAAACATCGCCCCGAACACCAGCTCGTTAAATTCTTTCAAATTGTTACAATTCCGAATCGACAACTCCTCGAGAGCTTCCAAATTATAGAAAGCGTACGGATGAATATTTTCCAGTTTTTTCATTCGATCGAGTCTGAGGGTTTTCAAAGAGTGATAACTCAACTGTTTCACTTCAAGGACTGAGATATCCGAACCAGAGAGGTCTAAATATTCTACAGAGTACGGCACCCGGGGGACTTCCTGGAAGTGGTTATCGGCCAGTGAAAGGTGCTTCAAGTTGGTGTAATTAACGAAATATAAATTCCCGAGATCGGTTAAGTTCAAATTATCTAACTTGATTGTTGAAATGTTCAAACTAAGACCGAGCTTGTGGGTTAAGAAATCCGAATTTTGGGTCAGCCATTCACCAAGAGCGTTGTCGTTGTAGCTCAAATCTATAAACTGGAGTTGAACTAGTGGCAAGAAGACGTCGATTTGAATTGTATTAATGTGGTTGAAACTCAAGTCCAAGTATGTCAGTTTTTGGCAGTTTTCGAAAAGGGCTCTATTATCCAAGGTAGTGATCTTGTTGTGACTCAAAATCAGTTTTCTTAGATCGGGGATTTCGCTGAAAAATTTGTCACTAATAGAGCTGATTTCGTTGTATGATAATATCAAAGTCTGTAAGGTGCGGCTGGAAAGTTTGTTTTTGTTTTCGTCCAGTTCTTGGATTTCGTTGTGCGACAAATCCAACAAGTTTAAATCAGCAGTCAACTGATCCTGACTTGGCACACTCTGTAGATGTATTCTAGAGCAGTCTGCTTCCGTAACCACTGAACTCTCGTCTTGGCTTGTAACACGTTTACAGACACAATAATTTTCGGTTTTTCTTACGGAACATAGTTGGTCGGACGCCCCGTTTTGGAAAAATAAAAATATAAACACTATTGCGGCGGATAACTTGTACATTTTCACGGTTTACTGAGTGTACAACTCACACTAAATAATTTAGGTGAAAGATTATCACTATTATCACAGTTCAATGAGTTCTCGATATTTACAGGTACTGCTACTGATATCTAGGGTAAATAAAACAATTGTGAAAATAATCTTAGGTTTATCTGTTCGTATTTGCGATATAATTAATAAATATTGTTTTATCTATGAATCATAATCCGCTACAGTAAAAACCTAATATGTATTTTTTTGATCTATTGGAACTTTGTCTCCGCTAAGGTCGATTAGATATTATAACTACAAGGGCTTACATTTTGCCCTTTTTTCTTAATATTCTTTCTTTTCACAACAAGACAGGTAAAACATGTTTAAAATGGGTGGAGCTTAATTTTTGGCTTCGTTTTTTCTCAATACACATAGTATTCTTTGAACAACGCGATACTTAAAAAACATTTTTATTATTTCTTGTGGAAAAATAAGTATTTTGCAGTTAAGCGCCGCCCCGTTGGTTCACGGCGAATAAAAAAATCATCACAATTGAGACAGGGCGGGTGGGCGGGGCTTATATTTAGCCCTTTTTTCTTAATATACATAGCCATCTTTTCACAACAACACACAACAAGAAACTTAAAACATGGTTAAAATGGTACATTTTTGCAAGGAAAAATGTATATCGACAGTTCTTTATACCAATTTTCCATTTTAAACATGTTTTAAGTTTTGTGTTCTGAAAAGAAGTCTACACATGTTAAAACAAAAAGGCAAAATGTAAGCCCGCCCACCCACCCTGTCTCAATTGTGATGATTTTTTTATTCAAAGTGAACCAAGGGGGCGGAGCTAAAACTGCAAAATACTTATTTCTTTGCACGAAATTAAAAACATGTTTTTCAGTATCGTATTAACCCCGCCCATCCACCCCATCTCAGTTGTGATGATTTTTCTTAAGTTTCTTTTTAGAAACCTAAAACAAGTTTGAATAGGTAAATTTTTGTAAGGAAATGTATATACAATTGAGATCGAGACGGATGGGTGGGGCTTCTGTTTTGGTTTTCTTTTTAAATTAATACATTTTGTTTTATTTGTGTCACCTGATTACTTAGGAAATTATTTCACATGGAAATTTCTCGCAGAAAAATAAGTTTTTTTCACAACAAGAAACGTGATACATTTTTGCAAGGAAATATGAATTTTGCAATTATGGGACGGAGCCTAATTGCAAAATCGATATTTCTTTATACGAATTTTCCATTTTAAATATGTTTTAAGTTTCATGTTGTGCTAAGAAGTCTACACATATTAAAACAAAAAGGCAAATTGTAAGCCCGCCCACCCGCCCTGTCTCAGTTGTGATGATTTGTTTTATTCGCCGTGAACCAAGGGGGCGGAATTTAACTGCAAAATACTTATTTCTTTACCAGAAATTAAAAACATGCTTTTGAGTATCGTGTTGTTCAAAGAACACTATGTATGTTAAGAAAAAAAGCCAAAATATAAACCCCGCCCACCCACCCCATCTCGATTGTGATGATTTTTTTTTTTTATTCTTAGAAACTTAAAACACGTTTAAATTGGTAAATTTTTGTAAGGAAATATGGATTTTGCAGTTACGCTACGTCCCCTTGCGTCAAGACGAATAAAAAAATCATCACAATTGAGATAGGGCGGGTGGGCAGGGCTTATATTTTGACTTTTTTTTTTCTTAAAATGTGTAGTCATCTTTTTACAACAAGAAGCTTAAAACATGTTTAAAATGGTAAATGTGTATAAGGAAATATCGATTTTATAATTATGCTCCGCCCCTCGGTCTGACAACGAATGAAAAATTCATCACGATTGAGATTGAGGCGGATGGGTGGAGCTTCTGTATTGGTTTTCATTTTTAATTAATACATTTAGTTTTATTTGTGTCACATGATTACTTATGAAATTATTTCACATGGAAATTTGTCGTAGAAAAATAAGTACTTTACAGTTAAGGTCCGCCCCTCAGAATTGAGATAGGGCGGGTGGGCGGGGCTTATATTTTGCCTTTTTTTTCTAAATATACATAGCCATCTTTTCACAACAAGAAATATGGTACATTTTTGCAAGGAAATATTGATTTTGCAATTATGGGACGGAGCCTAATTTCAAAATCGATATTTCTTTATACAAATTTTCCATTTTAAACAGGTTTTAAGTTTCATGTTGTCTAAAGAAGTCTACACATATTAAAACAAAAAGCCAAAATGTAAGCCCGCCCACCCGCCCTGTCTCAAATGTGATGATTTTTTTTATTCACCGTGAATCAAGGTGGCGGAGCTTAACTGCAAAATACTTATTTCTTTACAAAAAATTAAAAACATGTTTTTGAGTATTGTGTTGTTCAAAGAATACTACGTATGTTAAAAAAAAACAAAATATAAACCCCGCCCACCCACTCATGTGATGATTTTTCTTATTCTTAACAACTTAAAACACTTTTAAATAGGTAAATTTTGTAAGGAAATGGATATACGATTGAGATCGAGACGGATGGGTGGGGCTTCTGTTTTGGTTTTCTTTTTTAATTAATACATTTAGTTTTATTTGTGTCACCTAGTTACTTACGAAATTATTTCACATGGAAATTTCTCGTAGAAAAAATAAGTACTTTACAATTAAGCTCCGCCCCTCGGCTTACGACAAATAAAAAAAATTCATCAGAATTGAGATAGGGCGGGTGGGGGGAGCTTATATTTTGCCTTTTTTTCTGAATATACATAGCCATCTTTTCACAACAAGAAATGTGGTACATTTTGCAAGGAAATATGAATTTTGCAATTTTGGGACGGAGCCTAATTGCAAAATCGATATTTCTTTATACGAATTTTCCATTTTAAATATGTTTTAAGTTTCACATTGTGATAAGAAGACTACACATATTAAAACAAAAAAACAAAATGTAAGCCCGCCCGCCCACCCTGTCTCAATTGTGATGATTTTTTTATTCGCCGTGAACCAAAGGGGCGGAGTTTAACTGCAAAATACTTATTTCTTTACCAGAAATTAAAAACATGATTTTGAGTATCGTGTTATTCAAAGAATACTATGTATATTAAGAAAAAAAAAAGCCAAAATATAAACCCCGCCCACCCACCCTATCTCAATTGTGATGATTTTTCTTATTCTTAGAAACTTAAAACACGTTTAAATTGGTAAATTTTTGTAAGGATATATGGATTTTGCTAAAGTCACTAGATCTACTATTACTTTTACTTTATTTCAAGATCGAGTCACATTAGATTTTGCAGTTACGCTACGCCCCCTTGCCTCAAGACGATTAAAAAAATCATCACAATTGAGATAGGGCGGGTGGGCGGGGCTTATATTTTGACTTTTTTTTCTTAAAATGTATAGTCATCTTTTTACAACAAGAAACTTAAAACATGTTTAAAATGGTAAATGTGTATAAGGAAATATCGATTTTATAATTATGCTCCGCCCCTCGGTCTGACAACGAATGAAAAATTCATCACGATTGAGATCGAGGCGGATGGGTGGAGCTTATATATATCTTAATATACGTCGTATTTTTTGAACAACACGATACTCAAAAACACATTTTAATTTCTCGTAGAAAAATAAGGATTTTGCAGTTAAGTTCCGCCCCCTTGACTCACGACTAGTGATGTAAAAATGCCGTATTTTATTTTTGCGGTATAAAACCATGGTATAATACCGTTTTATACGGTATTTTATATGGTATTATATTCAAATTTTGGCGCCAACATTTTTCATTTTTAGCTTTATGGTAAACGTCATCTGGTGATTTACTAACTAAAGTCGCGATCTTTTCTATAGAACCACTCCCTAGTGTAAATTTTCAAAATTTGTTTGGTGTAAGTAACGTTGACGGGTTTCTGGGGGAAAACATATGCGTCAAAAATCTGACAGGTTAGATGGCCCCATTGTTAATGTAGATATTTTATTTTAATAAATAGATGAACAGAACGTACAGTCTGCACGGGATACAGTGCGACATAGCTGAGGGCAACCGAAAGATTCGTGTTGTGCTAGTTTCGATTGCCATATCAACTACCGCTACCAACCGCGTTCGGCGTAAAGTACTAGATGACAGGGCTACCAACTTGACTTTTTATCGAGTGGTTCCGTAGAAATGACCACTACTGTAGTAGAGAGAATAAAAGAAAAACACTTCACGAAGAATTTATTATAAAAAAAAAAAAAAACAATAAACTATATAAATATGAAAATAAAACATTTTTCTCAATTAAAAAAAAATTAACAAAAGTAGAGACTATTGTTTTATTGATCTTCATCAACTACGTGATATTATCATCGGCAATGTCGAGATCATTATCTACATCGTCTTGCAATTTGAGGATATTCTCATTGTCATCCTCATAATCATAAATATTATTTTGCAATGATAAATTGCTTTTAATGTAACTTAATGAGTTAAAAAAATTACGATTGACATAACCTAAAAATTTAATTTTATACCAGTGGTATAAAAACATTTTATACATACCGTATAATACAGTTTTAAACCGTGGTATTATACAGTCTGTATTATACACTCACATCACTACTCACGACGAATAAAAAAATCATCAGAATTGAGACAGGGTGGGTGGGCGGGGCTACATTTTGCCTTTTTTTTTCTTAATATGTGTAGACTTATTTCGACAACAAGAAACTTAAAACATGTCTAAAATGGTAAAATTTTGTAGTAATTAACTTAAATCCTCTGCTTTTCTCGTGCAACCCCTTTAAATATGGCAAAAGTTGAACATCAAAGTTACTAGCGATGGCAATTTGGCATCGGAGTTTATAAATGACAATTTTCAGTACTAAAAGCAACATCAGCGGGAACTTGCATATCAACAGCAAGTTTATAAATCCCACTTTAAAAATGGGGTCGACCTTGAGGCGTTGTTTAGTCAGTCGCTATGAATGTCACAATATATCCAAACATCATGTCAAGTCAAAAAGATGTGAAACATTCTGTATATACTCAACAAAAATTATAGGCAACCAACAATACACTGCTACTTACTAATAATGAAATCGTTCCCGCTCAACTCGATAAGTACTTAAATGGAAAGCACCTTGTTATTAGCTGAACTAAATAAGAGTGGCACTACTTTTAAACGCCACGAGCTCACTTTTCTGGTACTTTTATTTCAATGATTTTATTTATTTTAATTTAATTCATCTAAATAGGTAATTTTAATTGTTGCATGTTCAATAAAATCAGTTACTTTAATTGAAATAACATAAACTTATACACAATTATTATATTAAATATGGTTACTAGTATATTCCGCGTGATCCGAAATAACTGAGTCTGTTGGCAGTACTTTTTAAACAAAAAGGTGAACTTTTCTTGCGTTTATGTTGGCGTGACGGAAATAATTATGTGACAGATATGTCAATCGTAATAACATGCGATGAATTTAGGTTATGTTTTGAATACCTTTCGCATATTAAAAATGTTAACAATTTCTCGATCTTGACAGCTGACAACTGGAAATTAAGAAAACATCATGATACCAATTTCAACTAAAAATCCAGAATTGCCAACAGACTCATTTTTGATCACAAGTGTTTTCTAATAATTGACAAGGTCATAAGTAACTTTGACTGCATTTTAATTGCTAAATCACTTATAATTATAATAACTAGAAGTTTTACTCTAAAAATGAAGTCATTCAAACATTACTTATATAACGTTTGAAGAAAAAATACTTATTATTTAATGTGTTTTTACTTCGAGCTAGGGAAGTATTGTAATCGCGTCCATCGGCCGACTCCTATTTTCACATTTTCTCGACCCTTCATGACTCCTAGAGCACCATCCTTCACGACTCTTTTAATCACAACACTTACAACAGGTTACAAAATGAAAACACTCAGTAGCAAATACAAATGTGATATTTTTATATTACTCAATTTAAACGCAAACTCAAAATTAAAACAACTACAGCAATGACGTGTACTATTTACACACAACCTAAAATATATGTTAAAAATACCATATCATACCATTTAAAGTCTTATTATATCGAGATTGAAAAAATATAAAACTGGTATTCTACAAATTGAAACTTCGATATCATTTTTACAAAGTTTACACAGAACTTTAGCAAATGACCTAACCTTGAAAACAATCTATAAATGCAGACCGAAGTTTTTTTAGCAACATACATTAAATAAATAATCTGCGAGACTTGTTATTATCAAAAAAGCGTGTATACAGTTAAGACACTAAAACATTGCCTCTGCTGCTCTCCGACGCCGAGACCTGCTCTTCCTGCTTCGAGTTCGAACTAGGCGCGTCCAAACCTCTAAAACTAATATTATACTTCTCTCTGTATTCATTAATTTCGACCCCCTTCTTAGTAATCTGTTCCTTGAGCTTCTCGATCAACTCCTTCAACTTTTCCAAATTCGAAATTAGGGCCGGCAGAACGTCTTTCACTTTTCTTTCAGTCAAAACGCCCCCCACTAATCTGAAACAGCGCCGGTCTTCGTTCACGTTCTGAAGAGTGGCGATCACCATTCTGAAAAAGTGAGGTTATGGTGAAGTTGCGAAAGAAGTTCGAACGATTTACGTAAGTTGGCACGCCGAAGACGTTATTTCCGTTATTCGGGCTATAAATAGCGCGGTTCTTCGACGAAAATGGGGCTATTTTGGGTTATAACCCGAAAACTACTTACTTGTGTTCGTTGGAGTCGGCTTCAAATTCTGTCAGTTTAGACGAGAGATTGCGCTGCTCTTGTCGAAGGGTTTGAAAGCCGTTGAGAATTTCTTCAGGGCTGAGCCCTTTAGAGGACTTACGATCATGCTTTTTCGAATCACTTGCCATTTTTGGTAAACATAAATCGGAGCCGGAATGTCACTTTGTCACGGTCACGTGATTCGGGGTGGCAACCTGGCGCAACTAAACGCACTATTTTTGTTTTTTAAATGTGGAAGAAAGACGGGAATTACAATTTTAAAAATAATTGATTAGTTGCGACGAGTTTGCTGTTGGTTTCGTTTCGTCTAAAATCGCATTTTGTTTTTTTTGTGCAAAATTGATTTTTTTTGGTGAGTGCTCTATTTAGTGACTTTAGTGGATTCGGTAGCCATGTTGGAACTATAATTTATGGGGCAATTAAATTGCTCCAAACGTAGGCGTTTACATTTTACATAAATCGAAAGTGTTTTAAATTAAGTTTTGGTTATTTTCAATCAAAACAGTGTCGGGGAGTGTTTACGACAATTCTTGTTTTCGTTTTGGCCATTTCTTGTGCGAAAATGTGTGCGAGAAGTTCCACCTTTGGAAGAAAAAACCGCTCAGAAGCCGCCGATTAAGACCATCGGATTCCGCTGGTTTTAATTACCATATAAAAAAGTATTGGCGACAAATGCAGAAATAATGGGCTTCGATGAATCGAACCCGGAAGAGCCCTACGGCGCTAAATAACGGAAACTCGCAATTTTTTTCAAATAGAAAAAGACATGTTTACAAAATGTCATCAACGCTTCTGAAGAGTCATTGAACTTGTTATTAATGAGTTAATTTGGAATTCGCCGAAAATTGTTAAACGAAGGTGCCGTCAAACGATCACTCATGACATTGTTTTGTACTAGAGAGTTCCATTTTTGTAAAAATTCATGGGCAACGAGAACCGAGATATGGAGACTGAGTCCATAAAGTCCGAAAACAGTTCAAGATCGAGACGTTCCAGGGGGCATAGAGAGAGAAATAATTACCGACAGCATTCCCATCGAAGCACCAGGTAAAAAAAATTTTGTTTAAGTTAGTGATTGAAATCGCTTTTCAGAAGTAGTAAATCGCGCAAGAACGACGACATGGCCCCCTTTCAGACCGCCGTCACGCTCACCCCCGACAACCGCGACGGACAAGAAGTCATCGAGGTCCAAATTTTGCCCCAGGATGACAACTGGGGCGAAAACACCACTGCCATAACGGGAAACACGTCCGAACAGTCTCAATCCACCGAAGACGTGAGCAACTGGCCTGGTGAACCTGACACCGGGCTGTCTTTCGTCTGCCAAAGATACATGGGAACAGTGCTAACTTACGTTCTTTCCATAGTGGCCTTCCTGAGCCCCCTAGCCATGGTGGTTTTACCAAAACTGGGCTTCTTCCCCGCGCTGTCGTCACGATTGGGGCTAGCAGACAGCACCAAGCTGCTGGCTTGTGGCGCCGAATGCAAAGGACAGTTAGTGTCTTTAGCTTTCAAAATGGCAATACTGGCAGTAGGGGCGTGGGCGGTTTTTTTGCGGAAGCCGCACGCGACTCTGCCTAGGTTTTTTCTGTTCCGAGCTGCCGTGTTGGCGTTTGTTTTAGTTTGTAGTTTCGCGTATTGGTTGTTTTATATTGTTCAGGTGACGGAGACGGCCAGGGCTGCCACCACTCCGGAAGAAACGGTAGATTATAAGGCACTAGTAGCGTATGCTTCTAGTTTGACTGATACGTTACTTTTTATTCACTACTTAGCTGTAGTTTTAGTGGAAATAAGGCACCTGCAACCTATGTATTACATCAAGGTTGTACGGAGTCCAGATGGCGCTAGTCGTGCTTACGGTATAGGGCAGCTGAGTATCCAAAGGGCGGCTGTTTGGGTCCTCGAGAAGTACTACACCGAGTTTCCGATTTACAACCCGTACTTGGAGCGCATCCCGGTGTCCAAATCCCGGAAGAACTCCTCTAGTTTTAAGTTCTATGAAGTCGACGGTGTCAACAACACGAGTTTGCAGCAGTCCCAGTCCCGAGCTATGTTGGCGGCGCATGCGCGCCGCCGTGACTCGAGCCACAACGAGCGCTTCTACGAAGAACACGAGTACGAACGAAGAGTGAAGAAGCGCAGGGCGAGGCTAATCACGGCCGCTGAAGAGGCTTTCACACACATTAAACGCTTACATAACGACCAAGTGCCTGCCATTCCGATGGATCCTCACGAAGCCGCGCAGGCGATTTTTCCTTCGATGGCTCGGGCCTTGCAGAAGTACCTCAGGGTGACGAGGCAGCAGCCGCGTCACTCCGTAGAGTCGATTTTAGCGCATTTGGCCAATTGTTTGAGCAACGATCTCACCCCTAAGGCGTTTCTGGAGCAGTACTTAATCAGCGAGCCGGTTTTGCAGAACGAGAAGGAGGTGAAGGAGGTGCAGACGTGGGCGCTGATTTGCGAGGAGTTGCTGACGAGGCCTATAGGGGATAGTACTAGTTTTCAGCTGAGGCAGAACGACGTGTCGCTGTTGTGTTCTATAAGGAAGTTTCCGCATTTTAATATTACGGAGGAGGTGGTGGATCCGAAAAGTAACAAATTTGTTTTGAGGTTGAATTCGGAAACGTCGGTATGACCTATAGTTTACGATCGACTGATTTAGACATATCAGTTGACGAGTTGATATTCCATTTGTATAAGTACTGTGTGTATTTTTGTAAAAACGGTTTTTCTTTTTTGTATAGGATACTCAAGCAATTGTGATATGTTTTGGTTGCAATAATCATTTCCGCTCAAAGAATACTCTCTATTTATTTCTTTTTTACTTTTTTATTATTGTTTACGAATGCACAAAGTGTAAATTTTAGCACAGCGTAAGTTAATTCCGATAGTGAATCTCGATTTTACTATGTACATACTTCATGAGTCCAATTTCTTGTAAACTGTTGTTGATATATTATACACACGTGGAGTATTTAGAAAACCATTTACAAAAATGTAGTCGAAGTAGAAATAGTTTGCAATACTTTGGACGAAAGGTGCCTAACATTTTAGACAAATTTTTAACATGTGGGTGCAATTTCTATACTATGTAGCCTTTTAGCTTATCGCAAAGATCAGTATTCCAAAAATAAGACATGAATGTAACATTTTATAAATCTATTGATGTATGTACACCGTTTTGTGAAGTGTGAATAAATGTACTAATTTTTAAAAAGTTTTTTTTTTCAACATGTATATATAAATTTGCCGCTAAAATTGCAGTTTCAACGAAGCGGCAAAAGTAACGCCCATGTTAATATGACGCTCTTTATAGACCTGATAAAACCAAAATGTGTTACATAATCCACGTTTTTTTTTTAAGTAATTTTTCTCTAATTCTTCATTAAATTGAAAATATAAACATAAACACTATTGTTGGATTTTTAATTAACGTTTGAATGAACTTTGCAAACAATAAAAAAGAAATGCAGTAATTAAGTATCAGTTAATTGTTAATTTACATGAAAAATTTCCATTTTGGTGCGCGACGCTTACCACCCAAACATTGTTGCCTGTGTTTGCAAGCTGCGGTGTCCGAGTGGTTAAGGAGATGGACTTGAAATCCATTGGGTTCTGCCCGCACAGGTTCGAATCCTGTCCGCAGCGTCCTTTTTTTTTTCATTTTGTGTATGCATATAAATATGAAAATTGCATAAACGTGTAATATTTGTATTTGATTTTAATAAAAAAAGTAAATTTTAATGTCACATACACTGGTATCTATGTACGAGATTTAAAAAAAAAATCAAGCAATTCTGAAAATGTCGGAAATCACCAAGTACACATTGACTGTGTTTTTGAAATTTTGGTAGTACACTGATTTACAGAAAATGATAAAGTTAATAAAAATTACTCCTATAATTTATCCCTCCAAAATGTTGATAAATTTAAAACATGTTTAAAATGGAAAATTTGTATAAGGAAATATCCGTTTTTAAATTAGGCTCCGCCCATAATTGCAAAATCCATATTTCTTTGCAAAAATGTACCATTTAAATCATGTTTTAAGTTTCTTGTTGTGAAAAGATGGCTATGTGTATAAAAAAAAGAAAAATATAAATACCTGTCAAGATAAGACTAATTTTGGCAAATGACATATCCTCTAAGAAAATAAGGGTGGGTGGGCGCGGCTAGTACTTGCCAAGATAAGATTGATTTTGGCAGACAACTTATTCTTCTAAAAAAATAAAAATAAAAAAAGAAAAATCGACAAATTGAAAAATCGGATAAATGAGAAATCGGAAAATTGTACAACTGTATAATCGGAATATCAGACATCGAAATATCGGAAAATTGAAAAAAAAACAAATCTTATAAAATCCAACTCGAAATTCCAGTTTTCATTTTTTTTAGTTTTTAGATTTTTCAACTTTTTACGTATGGTTGTGTGTTATTTTTTTGAAGAAAACGAAGGATGATGATTATTATTATTATTATTATTATTAAATAATTTTATCACAAAACTGAGTGTTTTTAAAAAATTAGCTTCAAGAACAACAACACCAGGGAATTTTGAAGAAATTTTCACTTACGGTAGAATCTAAGATTTAAAACAAAGTAAAAACTGGCCACCCACCATTCTGTTTTGATCACTCATTTTATTGGCTCTGAGGCGGAAGCTCGGTTTTATATTGACAAATAATAGAATCTTGGATTACTTTTTTCATAAAAATTTATTTTTACCAGTTTTTTTTTTCGAAAAACTAGTGCCGAAAGTAATCACAATGAGGTACAATTGTAAACGCCGCCCCCTGTTTTCCGAGCCAATGAAATGATTTATTAAGGTGGAGCTTGTGCGAATGGGAGGAGCATCGGGAGTACAGCTCGTAAATATGATTCTCACGTCAGGCGTGCTTATTTACCATCAGCTTAATACCTTCTAGTGATTTTGTTTAACATTTTTTCTATTTTATCATCAATGGTTTAACAGATTTGCCTAAGATAATAATGTTATTAATTAACAGTGTTAAGAGTAATCACTAGAATGAAGAGCGGGTGGGTGGGCGGGCCTATTGCTTGCTTATAAAAGGGTGTAGGAAAAAGTTAACCTAGCATCACCCACTCACCCATTCTCTCATTTTTTTTCTTCTCAAATAAGATAAATTTTATAGCAAATAATGTAACAAAAAAAAAGGGATTAGCGGTTGTTTTTTTTTTTTTTATAGCCTACACACTACAAAAGAACATACATATAATTTATATATATTTATACCGCGTGTCTGAAAAATTTCGGATTAACTCTCCACTACGCTCTTAATCATCAAAATCTTTCGGTATGGAAAAAATAGTACAAAAATTCCTTCTCGCACTTTGGTGGAGTTATATAATGATTTTGAAATTGGTTCTTTTGCTAAGTTTAATAACTAAACAACTAATAAAACTTTTAGTTAATATTTTTCTCGCCCATGACCATGTTTAATTACCATTTCAGTTAGAATTAATATACAAAGAAATGATTGTATTGTTTTTGTAATAGTGAGTTAATTTTAGGCCCCTGGTGTTTCATTTTCGGATAAATTGAAAAGAATCTGGTGTTTTGTTGCTGGATGAACCTGAAAAAATATTTTGAGCTTTCAGTGTTTTATTTTTTATGAATTTGAAAAAATCTTGAGTACCGCAATGTTTTTTTTTTTTTTTGTAATTCGGAAGACTCTTGTGTACCTATGGTGTATTATTTTGGGAGCCCTTGGAAATTTTGTGTGTAAATTATTTAAAACAATTTTGGGGGACTTTAGTGTTCTATTTTTGGAAAATTCTGACCTGACCTGTTTTTGAGTTAATTTTGGGACCTCGCTTTTTTTTTGAAAAATTTAAAACAATTTTGAGGTTCTAGGTGTTCTTGTTTGGACAGAATTTGAAAGTGCTTTGGACCCTCTAGTGTGTTTTCTTATAATAATTCAATTAAATTTCTTAAAGGATACGTCATTTGCTAAAATTAGTCATATCTTGGCAATTACTAGCCCCGCCCACCCACCCTCTCTTTTCTCAGAGGATATGTCATTTGCCAAAATCAGTCGTATCTTGGCAAATACTAGCCCCGCCCACCCACCCTCTCTTTTCTTAGAGGATATGTCATTTGCCAAAATTAGTCTTATCTAGGCAACTGCTATCCCCGCCCACCCACCCTCTCTTTTCTTAGAGGATATGTCATTTGTCAAAATTAGTCTTATCTTGGCTACTAGCCCCGCCCACCCAGCCTCTCTTTTCTCAGAGGATATGGCATTTGCCAAAATCAGCCGTAACTTAGCAGGTATTAGCCCCGCCCACCCACCCTCTCTTTTCTTAGAGGATATGTCATTTGCCAAAATAAGTCTTATCTTGGCAACTACTATCCCCGCCCACCCACCCTCTCTTTTCTTAGAGGATATGTCATTTGCCAAAATAAGTCTTATCTTGGCAACTACTATCCCCGCCCACCCACCCTCTCTTTTCTTAGAGGATATGTCATTTGTCAAAATTAGTCTTATCTTAGCTACTACTTTGAAAAAATTTTCCAGACATCCGGTATATCCAGATTTATAAATGTAAACACAAAAATTCCTAAAAATTCTACATATCTTTCAAAAGATTTCACAGTGTGTCCATAAACGTTTATAAGTCAAGTGGCTTTTGCAAAAATTGTCAAAAATGTTGATTAAAATTTGCGCACTTTTATTAAATGATTTACTGGTTATCTAACTCGCAGGCGCAATTTATCGAAATATATATTTTTTGAAAATAAAAATACCTCTATTGACAAGTTTAAGTAAATTAGTCTATTGTTCGTTCTGCTTTGATTTGATAGCGTACAAAACCCATAAGCAATGCAGTTGAATATGGTCTAAAATAATTTTTGTAACCAAGAAGTACATGTTTGACATCGGTATTTGTCTTTAAAGTAAAATTTTTAAACTCGTAAATTCAAAGTTCCTTAAAATTCTTTCGCCCAAAAGATTCTACAGTGTGTCTACAAACTTTCATAGGTCAAATGGCTCATGGAAAAGTTATCAAAAGTATTGTTCTAATCAAATTTGCCACTTTTATTAACCTTGAGTTACTGGTTGCCTATCTCGCAGGCGCAATTTATTATAATTAATTAAAATGAAGGATTTTTTAAAATAACAACACAAGTTGAAGTCAATTAGTTTAAAATAAGAAATTAACAAATCTCAGACTACATTATTATTATTAATAATAGGCAAACATTAGTAGACAAATCTAATATTTTTATTTTTCAACTTCTGGTATTTATCAAATATAAGGTGCTAATTTAGTACACTTCCCCCTTAAAAGGGCACGACAAACCGTAGTTTTTTGCCACTAAAAAAATCGGCATTCGGATGACCAAAAGTATAACGAAAGTCGCTTCAAACCATAGTAATTAATAAATATTATCAATTTATCACCAATAACAATCCGAACTCACCCAAAAACGCGCACAAGAAACGAGTAACCAAAAACCACACGACTCCACGATCAGTTAAGTTTTTTGAACGAAAACACCATATTCATAAATACAGTGGAGAAATGATAGCTTTGCAGGCATTGCAAAACTTAAAAAAAAATAACGTTCTAGATAGGGGAACAATGGCAATAGTGTTAAAAATAAAACAATAAAACTTCATTTATTAGTCAGATTCCATGTAAAAGTCGTTGTTTTCATCTTCCGAACTTGCTTCATCAAGTTCCATTTTGTCTTTATCATTCTTCATTCTTTTTGCTATTTCGTCACCCAGCTTCATCACGTACTGAATGGTAAATTTGTTAAATTCGCAACTAAAAATAAACAAATAAATTATTTTCTCTGGTTTAGGTATTTTTAAAAAACTTACATTTTTGAGATTTGTTCGTATTTCCTATGCAAGCTCTTTTCCAAAGCCAACAAATACGCCATATTTTTCTGCGGGGCGATTTTAGGCCCATGAATCGTCAGTAAATTTTGGGCCCAAATTAAATAATACTCTAGATGTCGCGAACTGTCCAAAGCGCTAGAAACAATTAGCAAAAGCCTGTGGACGTATTGTTCACTCAAGGCAGCAACAATTAACTCAACTAAAAATTAAACAATTAATCAAAAATCACTTCAAGTAACGTGAAAATATTACCATCCTTGACCGGTATATTTTCCATGACTTCTTGAATTAAAGGAGCCTCGTTGAGTTTCATAGCCATCGTCAGAGCTAACAAAATAATAATAATAGTAATAATAAGGTGAAGAGCGCCCCCAAACAATCACTAAACCTACCATTAAGATTGTCTCCATCTCTGAGACAATTTTTCACCGCTTGTGGCGTAATCCCGATCTGTAAATCCCACGGGTCGAAAACTAGACCCGACGATAACGAATAGACGAGGAGTCCTTCAGTGGTGGCAGCAGCCCACTGTTGCCCAGTTGGTGAAAATTGTAAAGAAAAAATGCGCACTTCAGGCTTTAGGACTCTACTAGCCATATCACCTTTCCTCGCCCCAGGCAATTTAAGCGTCACGTTACCCCCTTCCATCTCCTCGCGTTCCTCCACAAGAGCGACGTTGCCAAACTCGTTCAGTTTTCGCCGATTAATGAAATCCTAATTTCATTATGGATTATTAATTTGAAGTATATGTATAGCAAACACTTACATCCACTGCATCCAGTGACCGATTCTGCGTAACCTCAAACTTTTTCACAATCAGAGACTCGGCAATGTTGTAAATGCAGACGTTCTTTGATTGGCCACCCGCCAAAAGAAACTCCCCGTCGGCGGAATAACACAAGCTTGTAAAAGCTCTGAAATTGTTATTTTTATCTCTACTTCAATTGTTTTATTGCAGTTGTCATACTTAGCCTGAAGCGTCTTCTTCGCTGTTATTAAATCGGTATCCGACCGTCCGCTTCCTAAGTCATTTCTGCCTTCAATACTCTTCAGTTGACTGGCAGTTTTCACATCGAAAATCACAATTTGACCGTCCAGGGTTGCCACAGCCACTTCTTGTCCGTTGGGTTTAAAAGCCACACACAACCCATCTGACAACAGTTCCACTGTTTCATGGGCTGAACCCTTCTCAATCGCATCCCATATTCGCAGAGTTTTGTCCCAGGAAACCGAAGCCATGCAGGTGCTGGTGACACTAGGACTGAACGCCACACTAGTCTAAAACAGTATTCAATTCCATCTGTTCGGTAAACGGTAAACGCGTTACTCACCACTGGCCCCTCGTGCCCGCTCAAAATCTCCAAAAGCTTCCCGGTTTTGATTGACCACAAGAAAATTTCGAAGACGTCTTGGCCGCCAGCGGCCACGAATTCTCCGCTACTGTCCACAGAAACCGACGCGAACTGAACAGGTCTGGGTGAGGCGAAAGTGCGGAAATTTCGGTAACGGATTAGGTCGTAGGCTCGCACAGTGCCATCCAGGGATGCCGATACCAGGAATTTTTTTGAGCCGCTGAAAGCCACGCTGGTTACGGCACTGGAATGTTCACTGAAAGTGACAAAGCAGAAGCCCGAGTGGACATTCCAGAGTTTGACTTTGCCGTCTTCGCCGCCGCTGGCGAGGAGTTGGCCGTCCGTGGAGTAGCAGATGCTGCTCATGTTGTTGGAGTGGCTTTGTTGCTTCAAACGGTAGATTTCGCCTGGAAATTTTGATTAAATGCACATAAACTGTTCAGGATGTTTTTAGACAAAAGTGAGGCATGAATTTTTTTCTTCACGTTGGATAAACTGATTCATTGACAAGATGGTTTGTCTGTCAGTACGTGAGACTGACGTTCACTTGATTTGCTACATTTATTACTTCTCGAGCGTAAGCGAAGGAAGCTGTATGTCTGTCTGTCTGTCTGTCTGTCTGCCGTCACATATTAAACTAAAGTATGATTCATTAATGAATGCGTAAAAAAGTCTCTCCCGGAAACTTAACAAGAATAACGTGTACTACATTAGTTGCTTATCGGCGGAGTGACCGTCGTCGTCGCGTCCAGATCTAAACAATTCATCCAAATATATAAACAAACATGTGTTACTCTGAATGTTGAACCAAAATGTGGTCTAAGGTTACTTATACACAACTTCCCTCGCCCTTGAAATACAGTCGAACAAATACATAGTTTAGCTTTGTCTAGATAATGCCAACGTGGTTGGCGAAACGCGTCGAGAAATATTTTGTGTGTTTTCGGTGTTGTGGAAATACACGTTCTATAAAATACAAAATGTTCGAAAAAGTATAAAATTTGATTTTGAGAATTTTATTTTTACATCCTGAGCATAAGCAAAGAAAGTATTTTAATCGAGTATATCGGGGGGCGACTGGCTACTTTTATGTTTTCTCGACATTTCATGACCCATAGAGTATGAAAAATTAGGTCTCGTGGCTCAGTCTGTGTACCGTCTGTTCAGATTTTTACTAGGCAGATAATCTCGAAACTTTTCATTATTTTCTGTTAAGTGCTAATACAACCCCTGTATTTTTTTATTCTTAAAGATAAACCTGTAGTTCTTTGAGCAAATTTGTATCATTTTAAATGTGATGGCAACCAGTAGAACCGGAAATGACGTCAACTTTTATTTTTTTCTATGGAACACTAGTTATATTTTCTCATAAATGGAAAGATTAATTTTTTCTAAAAAATCAAAAGCAACTAATATTCTAAAATCAATATTTAAAAAGTTAATCAATAAAATAGGCGAAAAATTCATATTTATTTATGACAATCTAGTCGCTTGAAAAATTTACAGTCATGTCATTTATTCACATAAGTGATTGTTGTCGTATCGACTCTGGATTATTTTTCCCAATAGGTGGGTCTTGTTTACGCAAGTATGATTTTTTTCATAATTTTTGAGCTCTCACTTTTTCCAGAATTGCGCTAAATATAGGTAACACTTAGTAAAAATGCAACGATTGTTTAGGAATTTTTGATATTCACCTACAATTTTGGTCCGGGATTTTAACATGTTATGTTTTTCGATTCAGCTTCTCGAAATCTATATTCCAGATTTTGTTGTGGTTTTTTGGACAAATTCGCCAAAATTCAAATTTTCGGGTTATTCAAAATTTTTGATCATTCTTCGGAAAATCCCAAAAAATTTACGTTTTTTAATTTCAACATGTAGAAGTTTCCTACGGCATTATTTTTTCTCTAACTGCTACCATTTTCTCAGAATCACTGAACAGAAATGTGATAAATTATGAGATTGTTTGAAAATTTGAATTTGAAGGCGAATATTTCGAAAACCAGTTGTCGTATCGACTCTGGATTATTTTTCCCAATAGGTGGGTCTTGTTTACGCAAGTATGATTTTTTTCATAATTTTTGAGCTCTCACTTTTTCCAGAATTGCGCTAAATATAGGTAACACTTAGTAAAAATGCAACGATTGTTTAGGAATTTTTGATATTCACCTACAATTTTGGTCCGGGATTTTAAGATGTTATGTTTTTCGATTCAGCTTCTCGAAATCTATATTCCAGATTTTGTTGTGGTTTTTGGGCAAATTCGCCAAAAGTTCAAATTTTCGGGTTATTCAAAATTTTTGACCATTCCCCGAAAAATCCCAAAAAATTTACGTTTCTTAATTTCAACATGTAAAAGTTTCCTACGGCATTATTTTTTCTCTAACTGCTACCATTTTCTCAGAATCACTGAATAGAAATGTGATAAATTATGAGATTGTTCGAGAATTTGAATTTGAAGGCGAATATTTCGAAAACCATTTGTCGCATCGACTCTGGATTATTTTTCCCAATAGGTGGGTCTTGTTTCCGCAAGTATGATTTTTTTCATAATTTTTGAGCTCCCACTTTTTCCAGAATTGCGCAAAATATAGGTATCCCTTAGTAAAAATGCAACGATTGTTCAGGAATTTTTGAGATTCACCTCCAATTGTGGTCCGGGATCTCAACATGTTATGTTTTTCGATTCAGCTTCTCGAAATCTATATTCCAGATTTTGTTGTGGTTTTTTGGACAAATTCGCCAAAAGTTCAAATTTTTGGGTTATTCAAAATTTTTGACCATTCCCCGAAAAATCCCAAAAAATTTACGTTTCTTAATTTCAACATGTAGAAGTTTCCTACGGCATCATTTTTTCTCTATCTGCTCCCATTTTCTCAGAATCACTGAACAGAAATGTGATAAATTTTGAGATTGTTCGAAAATTTGAATTTGAAGGCGAATATTTCGAAAACCAGTTGTCGTATCGACTCTGGATTATTTTTCCCAATAGCTGCGTCTTGTTTGCGCTAGTATGATTTTTTTCATAATTTTTGAGCTCCCAGTTTTTCCAGAATTGTGCTAAATATAGGTAACACTTAGTAAAAGTGCAACGATTATTCAGGAATTTTTGATATTCACCTACAATTTTGGTCCGGGATTTCAACATGTTATGTTTTTCGAATCAGCTTCTCGAAATCTATATTCCAGATTTTGTTGTGGTTTTTTGGACAAATTCGCCAAAATTCAAATTTTCGGGTTATTCAAAATTTTTTACCATTCCCCGAAAAATCCCAAAAAAATTACGTTTCTTAATTTCAACTTGTAGAAGTTTCCTACGGCATTATTTTTTCTCTAACTGCTCCCATTTTCTCAGAATCACTGAACAGAAATGTGATAAATTTTGAGATTGTTCGAAAATTTGAATTTGAAGGCGAATATTTCGAAAACCAGTTGTCGTATCGACTCTGGATTATTTTTCCCAATAGGTGGGTCTTGTTTGTGCAAGTATCTTTTTTTTCATAATTTTTGAGCTCCCACTTTTTCCAGAATTGTGCTAAATATAGGTATCACTTAGTAAAAATGCAACGATTGTTCAGGAATTTTTGATATTCACCTACAATTTTGCTCCGGGATTTCAACATGTTATGTTTTTCGATTCAGCTTCTCGAAATCTATCTTCCAGATTTTGTTGTGGTTTTTTGGCTAAATTCGTCAAAAGTTCAAATTTTCGGGTTATTCAAAATTTTTGACCATTCCCGAAAAATCCCAAAAAATTTACGTTTCTTAATTTCAACATGTAGAAGTTTCCTACGGCATCACTTTTTCTCTAACTGCTCCCATTTTCTCAGAATCACTGAACAGAAATGTGATAAATTTTGAGATTGTTCGAAAATTTGAATTTGAAGGCGAATATTTCGAAAACCAGTTGTCGTATCGACTCTGGATTATTTTTCCCAATAGGTGGGTCTTGTTTGCGCAAGTATGATTTTTTTTATAATTTTTGAGCTCTCACTTTTTCCAGAATTGCGCTAAATATAGGTATCACTTAGTAAAAATGCAACGATTGTTCAGGAATTTTTGATATTCACCTACAATTTTGGTCTGGGATTTCAACATGTTATGTTTTTCGATTCAGATTCTCGAAATCTTTCTTCCAGATTTTGTTGTGGTTTTTTGGCTAAATTCGTCAAAAGTTCAAATTTTTGGGTTATTCAAAATTTTTGACCATTCTTCGAAATATCCCAAAAAATTTACGTTTTTTAATTTCAACATGTAGAAGTTTCCTCCGGCATTATTTTTTCTCTAACTGCTACCATTTTCTCAGAATCACTGAATAGAAATGTGATAAATCATGAGATTGTTCGAAAATTTGAATTTGAAGGCGAATATTTCGAAAACCAGTTGTCGTATCGACTCTGGATTTTTTTTTTGCCAATAGGTGGGTCTTGTTTGCGCAAGTATGATTTTTTTCATAATTTTTGAGCTCTCACTTTTTCCACAATTGCGCTAAATATAGGTAACACTTAGTAAAAATGGAACGATTGTTCAGGAATTTTTGATATTCACCTCCAATTTTGGTCCGGGATTTCAACATGTTATGTTTTTCGATTCAGCTTCTCGAAATCTATATTCCAGATTTTGTTGTGGTTTTTGGGCAAATTCGCCAAAAGTTCAAATTTTTGGGTTATTCAAAATTTTTGACCATTCCCCGAAAAATCCCAAAAAATTTACGTTTCTTAATTTCAACATGTAGAAGTTTCCTACGGCATCATTTTTTCTCTATCTGCTCCCATTTTCTCAGAATCACTGAACAGAAATATGATAAATTTTGAGATTGTTCGAAAATTTGAATTTGAAGGCGAATATTTCAAAAACCAGTTGTCGTCTCGACTCTGGATTATTTTTCCCAATAGGTGGGTCTAGTTTGCTCAAGTATGATTTTTTTCATAATTTTTGAGCTCTCACTTTTTCCAGAATTGCGCTAAATATAGGTATTACTTAGTAAAAATGCAACGATTGTTCAGGAATTTTTGAGATTCACCTACAATTTTGGTCCGGGATTTCAACAGGTCATGTTTTTCGATTCAGCTTCTCGAAATCTATCTTCCAGATTTTGTTGTGGTTTTTTGGCTAAATTCGTCAAAAGTTCAAATTTTCGGGTTATTCAAAATTTTTGACCATTCTTCGAAATATCCCAAAAAATTTACGTTTTTTAATTTCAACATGTAGAAGTTTCCTATGGCAACATTTTTTCTCTAACTGCTACCATTTTATCAGAATCACTGAATGTAAATGTGATAAATTTTGAGGTTGTTCGAGAATTTGAATTTGAAAACGAATATTTCGGAAATCGGTTGTGGTATCGACTTTTTTTCCAGAATTGCGCTAAATATAGGTATCACTTAATAAAAATGCAACGATT